AAGGTACTGGGGGCTAGGACTTCAGTGTGTGAATGGGGGTTACCAACAGGATCCATAACACAGGTGTTTGCAATGCAGAGTTGCAAACGCGAAGCTGGAGGTGAGTGTCCTTCATTTGGTTTGGTTCATCTGCTCTTGCACAAAAGCCCTTCGAGATAAGATGGGAGTGATTTGAGGGCCTCAAATGAGCACAGCACACCCTCCTCCTCTGGACAGGATATCGGGGGCCCAAGCTGCTCGAGCCTCCCAGGCTACAACCACACACCTCCTCACCTTGCCTCATGATCCATCCTCCCTTCTGTGGTAAGGAAACCGATGCTCAGGAATGAAACTCATCAAGTTTGTACAGTTCAAAGGCAATAAAAGTGAGATTTTTCTTTTTTTCTTGAGACAGAGTCTGGCTCTGTCCCCCAGGCTGGAGTGCAATGGGAAGATCTCTGCTCGCTGTAACCTCCGCCTCCCAGGTTCAAGCGATTCTCTTGCCTCAGCCTTTCAAGTAGCTGGGATTACAGGAGCCCACCACTACACCTGGCTAGGGTGGGATTTTTCTTGATCAGCCCCTGAGGTATCCTTGGCGTTACATACCATTGATGTATGAGTTTTAAGTGGACAGTTGGATAAACTTTGACATAGGGGTATGCCAGTGAATTCACCACAATCAAGGTAATGAGCGTGTGCAGCATCCCTCAAAGCTCTTATGCTCCTTTGTAAGTACCTCTCTGCCCCCCAGCCCCCTTCACCCACTCCCACACCACTTCCCCCACGCCAGCTCCACAGCCCTTCCCCTCCTTTCTAGGCACCCAACCTATCTGCTTCCTAGCACCATAGGCTACTTGGCACTTCCTAGAATTCTGTAATAATAAGAAAATGCTGTAGGTCTTCTTTGCCTCCTTTTGCTCAGCATAATTATTTCTAGATTCATCTATATTCTATTCCCTTTTTAAAAATGGTCTGAAAGATCTGACTGGACCCAGTGGCTCACACCTGTAATCCCAGCACTTTGGGAGGCTGAGGTGGGAGGATCACTCAAGGTCAGGAGCTTGAGACCAGCCTGGCCAACGTGGTGAAAAACTATCTCTGCTGAAAAAAAAATACAAAAATTAGCCAGATGTGGTGGGCACCTGCAATCCCAGCTACTCGGGAGGCTAAGGTGGGAGACTTGCTTGAACTTAGGAGGCAGAAAAAAAGTCTGAAAGATCTGTGTAGGATTAGCATCATTATTTCCTGAAATGTTTGTGGAATTCACCAGTGAAGATCTCTGTGCTTCAAGTTTTCTATGTGGGAAAAGTTTTAACTATAAGCATTTCTTGTGCTTGTTTTACATTGAGCTTCTTAGATGTATAGATTTTTAGTTTCCATCAAATCTAGAAAACTTGTTATTATTTCCTCAAATATTTTTTCTGTCCACCCCTTTTTGAGACTCCAAATACACATGTATTATATTCCTTGAAGTTTGCCCACGTTTCACTCTTGCTCTGTTTTCTCTGCATGTGTGGGTTTGATTTTGGGCAGCTTCTGTTCCTGTCTATTCAAATTCACTAATATTTCTTCTACAGTGTCTAATTGGCTGTTAATTCCTTCCAGTGTGTTTTTGGTCTCACACTTTGTAGTTTTCATTTCTGGAAGTTTAATGTGGGCCTTCTTATATCCTCCATGCCTCTACTGGACTTTAGAACAGAGTAGAACGTAGGCATGATAGCAGTTTTAATGTCCCTTTCTGCTAATTCCAATATCTATGTTAGTTTTGGGTCAGTTTATGTTGAATTTTTTCTCTTCATTATAGGTTATATCATCCCTTTTATGCATGCTCCACCATGCCTGGCTAATTTTTGTATTTTTAGTAGAGATGGGGTTTCTTCATGTTGGCCAGGCTGATCTTGAACTCCTGACCTCAAGTGATCCAACTGCCTTGGCCTCCCAAAATGCTGAGATTATAGGCATGAGCCACTGCACCTGGCCTATGCCTGGTAATTTCTTATTGGATCCCAGACTTTGTGAATTTTACCCTGCCATGCAGTAGATATTTTTGTAGTTCTAGAAATACTTTTTAAAAAAATCTTTGTTCAGGGATCCAGTTTTGTAAACACATGGCCTTTCTGTTAAGGGTTGTTAACATTTGCTAGGTGGGGCCAGAGCAGTGATGACTGCAGGGCTAATTTATCCATCATTCCTGAATCGAGACCTTCTGAGTATTCAATGCAATGCCCTGTAAACTGCGGGGCTTTTCAGGCTGGCTGGTGGGCAGAGGCATGTCCCTGCCCCGTGAAAGCTCCCTGTGGTCCTCGCAGGTGGTTCTTTTTTTGGCCTCGTGTGCTTTGCCCTGGCACACATGCCGAATGGTCGTCAAGGGGCCCCTCTGAGATCTACGGGTTCTCTCTCTCTGTGCAGCTCTCTCCTCTTCGGGGCTCCATCCTGTGGACTCTGGCCACCTTAGTCTTCCCAGTTCTGTCTTCTTAACTCAGAGAATCCACTGGGCTCCATGGAGCTCCCCTTCCCTGATCCATGGTCGGGAAATAGTTTCTGGGCAGTGAGCTGGGGCAGCAGGAGGGCTCACCTCATTCATTCCTGTCTCTCAGGGACCATGGTGCTTTACTGCTTAGTGTAGAGTCTTGCAAACTGTTGTTTTGTAGGTTTTGTCTATTTTTATTGCTGTTCCAGGTAAGGGTAAATCTGATTTCTATTACTCCATCCTGACCAGAAGTATAATTCTCCTGAGATGGGGTTGAACCAGGATCTGTCTTGCCAGACAGCTACCTTTGAACACACCAAGGCTGAGCAGAGCTCACATTCCATCCAGTGTATTTTTATTGCTGTGCCATATTTGACCTCTGGAAACCTGAGTTTATCTCTTGTGCTATGAGAAGAATGCAGCAAAACATGTATTTTCTGTTTAGAAATCTTAATATTGCCCCCCATTGAACTTGTTAGGAATGTGACAGTAGCCAATCAAATGCCCACCTGAGCGATTCTGGAGTCATTTAAAGAAATGTCCATTCAAAAGCCCCAAGAGAGCAAACACTCAGGAGCCTGTGCAGGGTGGGGGTGCTTCACCCGTGGAGCCTGTTGGGGGACGCTGCTGGGGCCCAGCCTATGCTACAACCTGCTCGGAGGCACACCTGCCTGCTCTAGGCAGCCAGGGCAGGCTCTGGGACAGCTGCCTCACTGTGTGCCTGTAACTTTGTGAAGCCTGTTTCTTCACTGCTTCTTTTTTATTCCACTTAGCAAGTGAGGCAGGAGCATGTAAAGCTGCTGGCAGAGGAATATCTGAGTGTGAGAGAGAGTGTGTGTGTGTGTGTGTGTGTGTGAGCGTGCGAGCATGTGCGTGTGAGTGAGCTTGTGTGTGTGTGTGGTGAGTGTGCATATGCGTGTGTGTGAGTGTGAGCCAGCACATCAAAGTGAGTGTTTGAGGAAGCCTCTCTGTGTATGCCTGGGGGAGGGTGTGAGGTATGGGCTGGGGAGGGGTCTGGCGATGCCTACCAGCGCACCTCACATTGGGCAGTGCTTGCATGTTCAAGGTGACCCTTCCCCTGGGCTACAGGATGCTGGGTGGCCAGGGACAAGCTCAGCCTGGTCCCAGAGTTTCCAGCCAAACAGGACACTGCCCACCCCACAGTGCATGGCTGCTGGTGCAGGCCCCACCCTTTTCTGGAGGCTTTGTGTGCCAGCCCGGGGTTGAGGATATGTCTCTGCAGATGCCCATGTCCCATTCCTAGGGTCTGCATGCTGGGCAGTGGCACGGAGCTTCACTCATCCACACCTCCCCAGAGCTGGGGCCTCTGGCTGCTCCAAATGCCAGTTGGAGAAGGTGGTTTTCTTCTCTTCTAGTGTCTTTTCAGTACCTCCTAAATGGCTCCACTTTGAACCTGCTGGGCAAGAAAGAGATTTTCAAGGAAACCCTCTACTCTGTGCCAACCCCTGCAGGCCAACCCCAGACCCCAGTGTGGACCCAGGTGCCTGTGCCCACCAACCCTCAGCACCCTCCTCAGAGAGGCTGGCAGCATCAGGTATGGGGATAAGTGACTGCCACTTGCAGCTGCAGTCCTCGGCTCCTTGGCAGCTGCGTCTTGGGTTCAAGAGGACAATTTGAAGGAATGGCAGTCTCCCTCTAGACCATCTCACTTTGCTCCTCCTCAGAGGTGCCTGGTGAATTTTCTGTGCACTTAGAATTGACCCCTGAATTTGGTCCATGAGAGGTGTGGTGGGCCAGTGTGATGTGTCTCCAGTGCACAGGAGGGAGGAGTCTGGGGGCAAAGACCTTGGTCCACATCCTCTGGCAGGACCTGCTTCCTTGCCCTGCCCTCCCCCAAGCCTGTTTCTTCACTGCTTCTTTTTTATTGCGCTTAGCAAGTGTGGCAGGAGCATGTAAAAGTGCTGGAAGAGGAATATCTGAGTGTGAGAGAGTGTGTGTGTATGTGAGCATGCGTGCATGTGCGTGAGTGAGCGTGTGTGTGTGAGTGTGCATGTGCGTGTGTGTGAGTGTGAGCCAGCACTATCTCCCCAAGGGAGATAGTAAAGACAGCTGGGACCTAGGATCCCTGGGGGCTGTTTTCTGACCTGTCCAGCAGGCAGCGGTTGGGAGGAAGTGGAGGAGGAGGACCCTGGCCTCACGTCCTGGGAGTATCCGAGGATTGGAAAGCACCACAGATGAGCTATAATCAGAAGCCACTGTGTTCCTGCTGGTTGTTGTCACTACTTTGGGCATATATCTTGAATATAGTTTGAATTTATTGAACAGCAGATAGCGTCACACCACAGGGTTACCTTTTTATGCAGAAGAAACTTAATTTTAAAACAAACCATTTTCCATTTTCTGTTCTCTAAAAGCCTGTCTGTACAAGACCCACCTGAAGCTGAGCAGGGCATTCACACTTCACACACAGCCCCCAGCCCACCTGCTCGAGGTTTTGGGGTAGAGGGCGGAGGCACAGCCTGGGGGCTGCATTTGGGAGGGCCAGTCCTTGGCTGGCTAGCACTGACTCAGGCTTGTTTCTCCCCTGCAGGAAGCCCCTGGCCAGCCTCCAACTGAGCCCAGTAAGCTCGGCTTTAAGGATGGAGTCAAGTGGGGTGTCCTCAACCCCTCCAGGACCCATTACTGCCCTAGGGGTGCCAGATGCTGGGCCTGGCAGTTCCTCCCTAGGGAAGCTCCAAGCGCTCCCTGTTGGGCCCAGGGCTCACTACGGGGGCCCTGGCAGCCCGGCTGCAGCAGGGGACGGCTCTCTAGACACGGCCCCCATGGGAGAGCAGAGTGGTAGTTTGAAGATCCCCAACCGGGACAGCGGGATCGACAGTCCATCCTCCAGTGTAGCTGGAGAGAACTTCCCCTGTGAGGAGGGCTCAGAGGCTGGCCCAAGCCCCACTGCGCGGGGGGCGCACCCAGAGATGGCCCTGCACAGCCAGGTCCCGAAGGTTACCCTCCAGGACGAGGCTGACAGCAATGTGGGTGAGGACCCTGACCCTGAGACCACTCCCCAGAAGGCTGACGAGGACACCGGCCTGGCCCAGGTAGGCCTCCCCTTCTCTGTCTCAGGCTGCAGGCCTTTCCTCGGGAGGGGTTTGGGGTTTTCAGTGGGCGTCACCCCACACCTTGTTTCCAGGAATGTGACGCACAGGCTGGTGCTGTGTGCAAGGGGAGGTCTTGTGATGCAGTCTCCCGAGAAAATCTCATGGGAAGAATCCATGCAGGCCATACCTGACAACTTGAGCAGTGACCTCAGTCCTGAGCCTCAGTTCCCACAACTGTGCAGTGGGCACCTCCCAACTCTGGGAAGGTGTGATGATCAGTCCTACTGCTGGTGCTGCCAAAGCCATCCTTTGCACAGGGCTCACTGCTGACTTCATAAAACTCCTGGGAGGAGACTGTGAGTGGGGAAACTTTTTCTCAATGGGAAACTGAGGCAAAGAGAGCATGGCATCTGCCTGGGGTCACCCACAGGGCGTGGCATAAGCTAAGTCCTCTGTGATCTTCAGGACAGGGTAAGGCAGGACCTGTGAGGCCTGCAGTGCAGTGTAGAGACCAGAGCGGACCGTTCCCACAACACTGTGGAGCTGCTTGGAGGGAGTTCATTTGATTTTTCATTAGCATTTGTGGGGCTTTTAGCTAGGTGTTGGGATGCGGAGAGGCAGCAGATGGCCTCAGGCTCAGAGAAACTGTGGGACTGGGGGGCACAGCATGAGTAAGCTGCCAAATGACCCGGTCCTGGGAGCATTTTCCGGGTCAGGCTTGCTGGCTCCTGGGTGGGGATATTGCTGGCTGACCCAGGGATCATCAGGAGACAGGCTGGCAGGTGAAGGGCAGCCTGGTGCCTGGACCACTGTGGGCTGGCTTTGCAAAGACGAGGCCAGGGCTGTGTTGAGCGCAAGCTTTATCATCACTTGGTGTAGGAAGGAGCAGGAGGCAACTGCCATTGACATGATGGTTTGTCATCCTCAGTTTCCAAGAGTAAGGGGCACATCACACACACTTTGGAGCCACGGGGACGCCCAGGGTTGGTCAGGAGGCAGAGGGTTCAAGGGGGAACTGTGGGCCCGAGATGATAATGTGGTTTCTGCAGGAAGGAACGGGCAAGGCAGGGTAAGCAGGCTGAGGATTGGCTGGTGTGAATCATTTCAGTGGGTTCTGGGGCACAGGGACTGTCCCTGGCTGTCTGGTACCTGCCCTGGGGTCAGGAGGGCAGGGGGATATGGCCCAGAGTGTGAGGATCCCATAGAGGGGTGGTGGGTGTGGCTTTGGGTGGGTTGGTCTGCATTGGAAAGGTGAGTTTGCAGGGCAGTCCAGGCCGTCATTCTCTCTAGGAGGGGCAGTCCCTCCAGGGTCAGAAAGGCCAGATGTCAGCGCATCAGAACACAGACAACAGAAGACCTGGTGAGTCCTGGCCGCACCACCTGCAGCTCCAGGGGTATCCCGAGCTGTCTGCCCAGCCTCCTGAGTGCCAGGGACGAGGCAGACCCCAGGCCCAGCCCCTCAGGTTCTGGGTGTGCACAGGGCCGGAGGCTTGTGTGGGAAGGCCAAGGTCCTGCTGTCTGGAATAAGAAGTTTCTGACGCTTGCTCTGGTACTTCTGTCACTGACAGGAATGAGTTTGTCTCCTCCCTCACACACCAGCCTGTCCTCTGGGCGAGGCACCATGCAGGAGCCTTGGGGCCTGGAACCTCCTCCACCCTACCCGGAGGAAGAACAGGGGTTCATCGTAGGGGGAGATGTAAGGGAACACACGCCAAGCCAGTGGGCCGGGCTCTGCACCATTAGGAATTAGCCAAAAGCAAGCTGAAACGAAATACAGGAAAGGCATTGGGGAAAGGTTAAGGATGTTTCAGCAGCACACTTCTTGGCCCCGAAATCACCCAGCTCTCAGGGGCACGTGGGGTTGCCTGGGTCAGGCATGAACCTACCATTCATATGGAGACAGCAGGAGTGCTGGGCCTGGAGCCACATGACGGGGCAGGTGGAGCTGGGCTGGCACCCCTAAACGAACAGGGGTTTGACCCCTTCCAACTCTCCCAGGAGCACTGCCTCTGGAGGGCTCTCTGCATCCCACCCTGGTCTTCATGTTTTTAAAGGGAGCATCTTTCAAGGTTAGGTAAAATAATGGAGGATTAATTAGACTTAACCATTTAGTACCTTGCATTCCTATCCTTGGTACACGGTAGGGGAAGGCCTCACAAGTGCTGGGGACACCACTAGCTTGTGTGTCTTTTCAGGGCTGTGCATGGGGAAACTGAAGAGTGAGGGCTTTTTTACACATACAGAAACTGAGGCACAGAGGGGTTGAGTTATGAGCATGGAATCAAGACGTTCCAGGCTCAGCCCTGATCTCTCCCTGGTTCTCCTCTAGGCTTGTTCCTGTGAAGGAGCCCCCTGGGAACACCACTTTGCTCCCCAGAACCTGGGAGGTCCCCATGCCCTGCTACAGTGTTCCCCCACCCCCTTCCCTTCCTGCTCTGAGCTGGACCCCTCAGGAACTGTGCGCTCCTTTCTATTCCCCTAGCCCCACCCCACCTGGTGCCCCCAATCCTCCACAGCATCCCCTCCCCGACGCAGCTATCAGAAACCTCCTCTCTTCTTCCCATTGCTTGGGCACTGAGGCCTGACCTGAACACCCCAGGCTGGCACAGATGCCTCCCCAACCTCATCTCACCACTGGCCGCAGAAAGGGCCTTTTTCTCTGCTAGTGACTCCGATCTGTGCCACCTGCCTAGGGGCCTGCAGGAAATCTGCCTGTGGGATTCTGGGCTGCCCTGTCTGTGGGTGCCACCTTGGCTAATTGCTTTGTGCAGTTTCCCCACTAACCTGCAGCTGCTGAAAGGGACTCTCATGGCCTCTGCCCTGAGGTGTGGGTCACAAGGACTCAGGACCCAGTCTGTAAACAAACATGAGTAAGCCAACCCCAGACTGTTGAATAAGGTGAAAAACGCAAATCCAAGACAAAAGCACTTTTTTACAAATAGGTCTGAGCAGGGTTCAGTATTGGAGGTCTGGCCCCAGGTGTGGGGGAACATGGCTCCATCTGGTAACCGGCTGCCTCGGGCTGCAAGCTTCTCATGCCTTCTCTGTGGAAGGCGTTTGGCAGACCAAGGGCGAGGAGGCCACTCAGCAAGCAAGGACAAGGGGCAGGAGCACCCAGAGGACAGACTGCAGAGGGGCCACAGCCAGCAGGCAGCGGAGCCCCTGCACACCACCCTGGCATACACTACTTCTCTTTCTTTCCTCTTTCCTTTTCCCATGCTTTAGCTTAAGTGGCCTGGTCTGCTAAAAATATAACACAGGAGGCTGTACGGGGAAGCTGAGGCTTCAGGACAGATTGTCATTTAACCCTGTAAATTAAAAATAAAGTCCTAAGCCCCCCACCAACTGAACAAACCCCGTCGTGGCCAAGGTGACCCCAGAAAAACCTTAAAAACTTGAGTTTCCAGCTGTGATGGGATGGGAGGTGAGTTTTACTCCCTCCTTTTTGCAGTTTACACACAACTGACCAGGATTAATGTTAAAATAGAGATCAGAAGCCTAACAGAACAGATTCTTTGTGGCGATAAGATACCAAATTATAAACAGGACCAGGCAGTGTACACACTCTACACTTAAAGAAGAAACTATATTCTAATAGCCACGAGGTTTCTCTTTTTCTTTAGCAGCTAAACAAGCAATAAGCAATATTAAAACAATTGTAGCTCCACCAGATGCTGACTGGCTGACTGATCCCCCCACCCCATCCCCCACCCACCCCTGTTCCACCAGCCATAACTGCAGCCTTGATTGGACAAGAGACTGATTCAGTAACTGTCTCCCAATAAGAAGACCACTGACTATGTTTGGACTGGCTCTGGCCAGTTTGCAGAGGCTGCATATTTGCGTGCACTTGTGTCCTGGAAAGACCTTTTGGCATATAGAGCCTGATTGTAATACACTTGAATGTTAAGGGTCCACCCCAAGGTGAACATGAGTTGCATGTTACATGCATGCTGGTTCAATACACATGCATCAGGACTATCCTCATAAATATCCATAGCTCCTTCTGCAACCTGTTGAATATGTATAGTTGGCCAACCTGTTCAGCTCTCCTCCTTAAAAGTGCTGTCTTGGCTGGCCACCTTGGAGCCGTAATCCTTTATAAAGATAAATATATAGATTTTTTAAGGCCAGGCACAGTGGCTCATGCCTGTAATCACAGAACTTTGGGAAGCCGAGGCGGGCAGACCACTTGAGGCCAGGAGTTCAAGACCAGCCTAGCCAACATGGTAAAACCTCATCTCTACTAAAAATACAAAAAGTAGCTGAGCATGTTGGCACACACCTGTAGTCCCAGCTAGTTGAGAAGCAGAGGCAGAAGAATCACTTAAACCCGGGAGGTGGGGGTTGCAGTGAGCCGAGATCACACCACTGCACTCCAGCCTGGGCAACAGGGTGAGCAAGTCTCCATCTCAAAAAATCTGTAGATGTTTTTTCTCTTTGTCTAAATGTATAGATTTTTTTTCTAAATGTGATTTTTTGTTTTTTTGAGACGAAGTCTGGCTCTGGTCGCCCAGGCTGGCCAGGCTGGTCTTGAACTCCTGACCTCAGGTAATCTGTCCACCTCAGCCTCCCAAAGTGCTGGGATTACAGGCGTGAGCCACCGCGCCTGGCCTAGTCTTTCACCATTGTGTATGATGTTAGCCGTGAGCTTCTCATATATGGACTTTGTTAGAGTGAGGTAATTTCATTCTGTTCCTTTCATTCTGCTGAGTGCTTTATCATGAAAGGATGTTGAATCTTTTCAAATGCTTTTTCTGCATCAATTGAGATGATCATGTGGCTTTTGTCCTCATTCTGTTGATGTGATGTATCACATTAATTGATTTTTGTTATGTTGAACCATAGTTGCATTCCAGGAATAAACTTGGTCATGGTGATTAATCCTTTTAATGTACTGTTGAACTTCATTTCCTAGTGTTTTGCCGAGGACTTTTGCATCAATATTCATCAGGGATACTGGCCGGTAGTTCTCTTTTCCTGTATTGTCTTTGTATGGC